CAAATTGAAAAGATAAGAGGCTCTTATTTTATATTTTAGCTTGTCAATATCGGTAATGTGAGTTTCTAATTCGTTCAAAATCATAGACTTAGTATTTTGACTTCACAAACATCTACTTTGAACCAGTGCTGCATTCAACATACCACGTGACACACAAAAAATCGATGTTTATCTGTGTTTTTTTAATATTTGCTTTTAAATTAAGAAATAGAGTAATATATAGTACTAAAATTGGAATTATAATTTAAAGTTTGATACCAAACTTACTGACATAAATTTATGAAACAGTAGATCAATAAAATTCTGAATAGGAGTCAACAAATGAAATGACATGGCCTTTCATCTCAGAAGGGTTAAATGACATCAACTAGGAAAAGACAATGAGCTTTGAGTTGACTTTGATACTTCTAACTAATTACTGACTAGGTAATTAATGAGAAATACTTAATAAATAAAAAAAAATGTCTTTGAAAGTATGTGATATACAAATCTTACTTTTGGTCTTCAAGTAATACCAACTGATACAGTTTTTCAAAGACCTGTCCTCCTCGAGACATTACCACACCAGGCAGCATTTTTTCCTGAAATATATTGGATAAATATCATCAGGATATTTATAACAAAATCAAACATACGAAGAGTAATAAACAGTTATACAGTAGTAATTTATTTTAATATTTAATTAACAATTTTTTAACCTATAGGAATATATCATCATCAAGTTATAGACCAAGACATTGTTAATTATTAAAATATTAAATCATATTCCAACTAGAGAGTTGTTATTACTCTCACTGATTTACTCGCTGGAATCTTCATTTTATATTAAAAAAAACAATTTTCTATAGTTTCTGTTTACCAAATAACTGCAAATCCATAATCACTAAATACCTATTTTTATATAGGTTTCAAAGCTAAAAGGAGAAATTTAGAAACATTCATATATTACATCATCTAGTGTCTTAAAATTTATTATATGCTATAAAAAAATGTCATTTGAGCTGCAAATAATCAAGTTTTCAGTCCCACAAACTTTCTTTATTAATATTTAAATAGCACATTTATAATTGAGTATTACTTATCTTTTAAGTTGCTGTTTTTTGGCTTTTGTCTTGTATAATACTCATTTTGTTAACCTTGGATTGATTTGTTCAGTCAATGAACATGTTGTCTTTTTAAAACCTTTTTGGGTCTCAAGTAATGGATTCTAAACAGTGAAAGTGTTAATTTTTTAAGTACTTAACAAATTATTTGAGTAAATACACCATAAAGTACAAAATACAAGTACTATTACTAACTTTAATTTTACAAAAATACATATTTTGAAATAGAATTTTAGATCAATTATACTTAAAACCCTATTATAGTTAATCTCATCTGTTGTTAGCTATTAATTGCAATGAGCTATGAAAAGTTTCACTGAAGTCACTTTATTCAAATAAAAAATGTAAAATTTATATTGCGACAATTTTTGAAAACTCGTAACTAATACATGTATATTAAAATTAATTTTAATTATTTCTATATCATGGTCATCAAATGTGATTAATATTATGGTTAAACCATTTACTATGGGCATCTTCTTTTACACATGTCACAAGGTTTTAATAAGTAACATTCAAAATATAATTAAAGTATTTTATTATCATGTTATACAAATAAACTTGTCATCAAAATGTAGCAAATAATCCAAATTTTAATATTATATAAGTTTTAATTTCTTTTTTAGACAATATTAAAACAAAATCTTCAATTTTCCCTAGTATGAGAATTGTGACATTTGTTCTCTAAATATCCCCTCTTTTCTAATTTATTTACTACCCATCCAAGAAGTACAAAATTTTTTGTAAATTACTCATTATAACATCCTGTTTCATACTCTGGAGATATTATTACTTCATGAAAATAAAGATGTTTTTGTTCTACCGTGGAAAGGGGTTACACCTATTTTTAGGCCTCTTTTTGGAGATGTGTTGCAACGGTAAAGAGGGGTCTGATTTTCTAGTTTATGGCTGTGTGACGAAATAAGATTGAAGGCTATAAAAATTGTGCCTTGCCTTAGCTATGATATGTTTATGAAAAAAACAACTCATTTTCACTAGTGTTCATGGCCTTGTGAACATGATGACCCAGTCTATGAAATAGTTTTTTTTATCACCATACAAAAATTACTTAATACATCAAAACTTCACTAAATCATGTGACATCTTAACAAACTTGGTACCAAAATAAAGCCCCTGACACCCTCTTTTTTAAAAAGTAATACATGGTGTATTATATTTAATTAAAAAATTACTTTTATATTTGAAAAATCTAAATTCAAAACATTTCTCGAGATCAAATGAAACAAAACCAAATGTTATTAAAGTATTGTTATGTTTTTAGTAGTTTTAATATGTATTTGTAGACCACTAAGCATAACACCCCTCATTTAATTCTATATACATTTTGTACATTGTAAACCACATTCTTCATAATAACATAATCAAATGGCGGGTTATGTGAAAGAGTTTGGTATCAAAATAAAATCTTAGCACTAGTTTCCATAGCAATCAACACTTATTTTCTAATTTTAGGCAACTAATATATTTTTTACACTAAAACGCCTAGTACTGTTTATATATTTACATCAGTTATAATCAGTTGTGTATACATAATCAAAGATATGGTGAATGTAAATATCAAAAAATTAATTGGAAGAGTTGATAAAGTACAAATACAGGTTATGAAGTTTTAACAACTCTAAGGCTTTAAGGTGTTAAATCATTTCATGCATAACAGTAATATCAGTCAGTAATATAACCATTTATTAAGGACTGGTCTCCCAATAACTTTCAACATATTCAAGTCCTCATGATATAGTAACAAATAATAATTACTAATTAATAATAGATAATTAAACCTACATTTGCTTTCTATTAATTTTGGTTGATTGCTACTGTAATAAATTATATCTTGATTGCTACTATAATATATATTTTTTTTCACATATATAATATATATGTAAAGCTTAGTGTTTGATCTTCTTTTTCAGATATATTGACACCTTATTAACATTTGTATAAGAATGAATTCTGAGCCAAGAGACAAAAAGCCTCACCTCCTACACATGAACAACTGTATTATATGTTTCAAGGCACAATCCCACTCTGGAAGGACTTCACTCAATTCTTCTTCTATAAACAGGCCAGAAGGATAAAATGTATGAGTTATTATGGCCAGTACGAGAAGATGTCCTCTCAAAGAAGGTCCATGTTTTCTTCCACAAACCTTGCAAAGCCAAATATACAAGCAAATCAAACAAATACAGGTTTGAAACCAAAGCCTCGGATGCTTCTTCAGTATGTACTAAATCAACATTGGGAACTTCAACTGGTCTTCCCCAAAGAAGTGGTAGAGTGGATACCTCAGGGTTTAAGATTTGACAGCACTGCTCCATTTGTGGAACTGTCTACAAAAGGAGGGGAAAACTGATACAAATTACTACTGGTACTGGAAAAAACCTCAGGGTTTAAGATTTGACAGCACTGCTCCATTTGTGGAACTGTCTACAAAGGGGGGGGGGGGACTGACACAAATTACTACTGGTACTGGAAAAAACCTCAAAGGTAGAGTGCTAGGAGCAGCAGCAGCTGAGAGACTCGATGATGTTGTTAACCAACACATATTAAAGCACACTGACTTATTCACATTGGATGCTAAGTATTATCACACCAGCTGCTAGCACTACATCAGTGAACAAAACACCACTTCAGCTCGTATCAAAGTAAGAGTCAAAACAGAGTCACTATGCTATGAGAAAGCCTTTGATGTCATAAAGGCTTATCTGAAACAATCTGTTTTTTCAAAGAATAAGGATAAAGTCATAAATCTGTCATCCTTTAGATCAGTTTACACCGAAGCTTTAAATGATTCAGACATCACTGATTCTAGTGCATACTCTTCATGGAAGTTGAAAAAACTGAGAAGGCACTACGGATATGAACTTGTATTTACTGAGAGGCCTAGAGTGTCCACTCTAGTATGTACTTTTGCCCTGACAATAGGTGAAGCATTGAGAAAGTCATCAAACAAAGAAAAATGTGAGAATGATGATGTGACAGATTTTGAGTTGACTCATAACAAACTTACTGAGGAACAGATAATGCACGTGGCAGCTGTAATATTGAGAAACAAAATGGCAAATGTCAAAGACAAGGACAATTGGGTCTTGAGTCTGGACATTATTCCATGTGGCAAATACATACCAGAAGGTCTATACAATTTCATCATGTGGTGTACCAATATGAAAACATATCAAATTATTCAGAGAGTAGTGGTAAAAAGGACAGTCTAAAAGTTATTGCAATTTGCCACAGTATAAGCAGTCAGTGCCAATGCACATTGATAATATACCCAAAAGTTCCATTGATTGTTGATTCAGAAGTATTATTCAGGTGACTTTTAGCTGTGTCAAGACACAGAGATGTTGACCTTCACACTATCCTGGAACATGAGCTGGCAGCAGTACCATCATCTTTATTTCACAATGATGGAAGCATGAAGAAGTGAAAAAAAAAAAACCTTGCAAAGAAATTAGAGGCATCATATGAGGAAGTCTATACACTAGAAGAGGTTGATGGAGAGTTAGCTTACATCATTAATGGAATGGCCATGCTACAAAGCCAGAACGATGCATTATTTAATTGTTTTGATGATCTTGTAAAGATTGTCTTGGAGTGGCTCAAGAAATTGCTCACTGGACCACTAGACATAAATGTGGTTGTGTTCAATCACTACGACATGCCCCACTTCATCAAAGAAACTCAAGATATTTCATCAATAAGCAACAGATGTCTCAGCCAGTCATGTAATGACAGGTATTCACACTGTACCAAATTATCATCACTTTATGAAGAATTCTGCAATTAAAGCTGCATTGGCCACATTTGTCTACAATTACATCATAGAAATGGCACCAGCTGCACTGCTGGATGAACAATCAATCGTACGTGCAGATGATTTTACCAATGGAAAACAAGTCAAGCGAGTACAAAAGAACAGTGTAGTTGATATGAATGAGTACAGTACACACGAGGAAGCTGACACAATAAATGTCTCACAAACACACCAACAAGAAACTATTTGCTGTGGTGACACTTATGGTAATACTCCTGTATTACTACAGTAAAGGCTTACTAGATAATATGATATATATATGCATGCAGGCCATAATGGTAATCATACAAACAGAGAGAAATTCATCCCAATACATAGCATATGCAAATAGTTGTGCAATGCCATATACTAGTCCTTACCAGCAATGCATGCAATAACTGAATGCAATACAACAAGTAGCTTCTATAAGATCGACAAAAAGACAGCACTCAACAAACTACAATAAATTGTGAAAAAGTCTGCTATTTTAACATTATTTGGAATATCTGACAAAAGATATCAAAAGTTTTTGAAGGTAAATGTTTATATATTTTTTTTTTCATTTTCTCTACCTGTTATCATCAATGTACAATGCAATGAAATAATTAAAATTAGAAAATAAAAAAAAAGAAATATATAAAACTTTATAACATCTTGAAAGAATTTCCTTTTGTTAAATTCGTAATTTCAGATCTTTTGCCCTTTCAAGTATAGTTAATTTTTAATGTTTTATTTTCCTTTCTTCTCCTTTACCACATATTATTCATCTTAACAGAAGTCAGTGGTGCCCTTGAGGCATATTACAGTTTCCTTGGGAGACATGCGCAACCCCTCTGTAAAATTTTCATTCAGCGGATAATATCGTAAGCCTTGAGAATGGATGCAGAGTATAATGTATATTTAGAATGTGTCTTCTGTAGGACTAAAAGTGGATGCAGGTTTATCTGATCTTGTGACAAAGGCATACCTCAAGTCATCAAGATTTTGACATTTTTCTCTACCTCTTTTCTTCTGATTGCCATATAGATGCAATGTGTAAGATTAAACTGCCTGCATACTCTCCTCTATGATATGAAAACTATAAAATGAATACTTGAATAATACTTAACCCTCTCTGTCTGAGCTTTGTTTACTCTGCATGTCACAAGGTTTTAGTGGTTTACAATCAAAATTTTATGAAAATATTTTTCATGTTATATCAATTAGTATAGCCTAAAATCGTAGCTAATAAGCCATATTTTAACAGTATATAAGTTTTAAGTTCTTAACTTTATGAGGCAATATTTAAACAAATCCTGAATTTCTCCTAGTGTGAGAAAGGCAAAACATTTTCTTTAGGTATCCCTCTTCTCTATTTTATTCACCACCCCTCCAATAAGAACGAAATTAATGTAAATTACTCACTATAAAATCGTCATTGTTCAGACAAACCATAATTTTTATTGCTTCAAATTTTATTTGGTTACAGAGCCATCATATAGAAAATCAGACCCTCTTGCCACACCCACCGGTTACATCCTCACTTTCAAGATTTGTTAATAGTTACATCCTACATTTAATTCTATATTATGTATAACCAACAGAATGCCAAGGTATTTCATCTATCAAATGACATACTATATAACACTGTTTTCTGAACAGAGAACTGTCAAGTTCTCTTTTAGTACAAGCTTCATACCCGTGGGAAAAATAATGACTGCTTCGGATGAATTGAATATTAGCTTAACCTATGATAAATCGAAACACTGACTGAATCAGAAAATCTTGCAATTAATAACTGATTTGACTAAAAAAGAAAAACCTAATACAATTATCTCTGAGAAATTGTTACTTAAGAATGAGCTTACTTGCTCCAGTAAAAAGTTTCGGTGGCTGGAGAAAGGAGATCCTCCAAATGCTCCAGTTTCAGAAGCACTATTAAATGTGACAGTCGGAACAGTTGCTATTTGGGAAGTTGATGGGAGTGAAGCGGGCCCAAATACTTCATCCTGTGGATAAAACATTTACTTTACAGTTACTTATACGTTTCACACAGTATTCCAACAATTTATACTAAAGTAAGTTTTATTATCATTCATTTTGACATGGTTGAAGAGATGACAAACAAATTACATAGTGTTTAATCCCATTTTATTGTTTGTATATCAATGATATTTACCCAACTTGGAAAACAACAAAGGATGAAGTTTTGAAATCTACTGTAGAATAAAAACAAATTATAATTCCTTAATGAAAAGTATTTTTAAAATCACAATTTCAAGATTCAACAAGACAAAGTTTCTAAGATAACATAATACCTACAAAAACCTAAGAACATAGTCACTTTACATCTGACATTGAATTAACACTCTGCTATGGATAGGTCTAAATGTGCATGTCTCACAACTTTTTCAAGAGTTACATTCAGATATTAATTAAACTACTTGATTATCATTGTATATGAATAAACTTGGCATCTAATTTTATTATTATACAAGTTTTAGGTTCTTAATTTTATAAGAAAATTTTTAAAAATTCTTCAATCTCCCTAGTATGAGAATTGTGGCATTTGCTCTCTAGGTCTTCTCTCTTTTCTAGTTTATTTACAACCCCTCTGAGAAATATGGAATTTAATATAGATTACTCAATATAATATAGATATTACTTGCCACACCCACCTGTTACATCCTCTTTCAAAAATTTACAATAACTTCCTCCGTTTTATACCATATTATTTATAACCAACAGAAAACTAGTTTTAATCTAACAAATGACATATTATATTACACAGTTTACTGTACAGAGAACTGCCTATTAAACGTCCAGATCAAAAGTTTTTCTTACAGTAGTCACATTGACAAGCTTAGCTGAATTGTAAAGTTTCTTATCACATAATTAGAAAGTCAGAAAAATTATGATAGTTATAGGTCATTGTGCATGTTACTATTCTGTGTTCTGAGGTGCATCATTTAATTAAAAAATAATAATTATTGATTTAGTACCATTAGATCAAAAAGTAGGCTAAGTTTCATTAACAGGTGACAGCAGAAAAACCAACAAGTGACCCATGTAAGAACTGTATTAACCCTCTCTTCACAGGCATCTTTTTCTACACATTAGGAGGTTTTAGTGAATTACATTCAAAATTTAATTAAACTACTTTATTTTCATGATATACTAACAAATATAGTATAAAAAGATAGCTAATAATCCATATTTTTATAGTATATAAGGTTGAAATTCTTACTTTTATAAGACGATATTAAAAAAAATCCAGAATTTCCCCCAGGGTGAGATTTATGGCATTTGCTCTCAAGACATCCCCCTCCTCTCTAATTTATTTAACACTCATCCAAGAAGTACAAAATTTAACATAATTTACTCATTACAATATCATCATCACTCAGGCAAAGCACAATTTTCATAGTGTTCAATCTTATTTCATTACGTAACCAGGAAATAGACAATCAGACCCCTCTTGTCATGCCCACCTGTCACATCTTTGCTTTCAGAAACTGCCAATAGTTCTTTCTAAAGTTCAATAGTATATTATTTATAACCAATTGAAAGCAAAGTTTTCATCTATCAAGTCATGTATTATATTACAGTTATCTGTAGAGAGAGTTGTCTATTTCACTTTCAGTTCAAATTATAATTCCATAAAAAAACATATCAATGAGCTTTTTGGGACATCATTTAATTAAATAAAAAATTAGTTAGTGTAGTACTATCATTAGCACAGAAAAGTAAGATTAAGTTTTATCGACAGTCAACAGCAGAAAAAAAGAACACCTTGCACTCAGACTAGTATAAAGAAATACTATATTTATTCACAGACAAATCTTTAGTAAAAATACTTCAATAAAAAATCTAATATTTTGTATACAAAAGATTTGTAATGCTTACTAAAAGTCTGCTAAATTTTTGTGAAGATACACAGTGTATTAAAAGTTTTAGTGTGGAAACTATAACGAGTACAAAATGGTTACGAGGTCGGTCAAATCGATCAACCTTGAAATACAAAAGTTTATTGTTTTTCATGTGTATTCTTTATTTATTAATATAAGAGCAAATAAAATGGAAAAATTATAAACTTATTAGGTTAGATAAGGTTACATTGGGTGAAATAATAAAAAACATTTTTCATGAGGTATGCTTGTGTGTTACATAACTCAATAGGGTACTGCAAGTTGCACATTTCCAAACTGATTTAAAACTTATGTGATGGAATTACTAGATAGACATAGTTTAAAGGGCAATAAAACAATAAAATTAAATATAAACAACTGTTATGAGGTTTACGCTATTTAGTACAAACAATTGTACTTTGCTGTTACAATTAGCAGTCATTCTAGAAAGAAACTTGAATAGTTCCGATATATTTCCCGTTTTTCATGTTGATTACAAGGTTTGTCAAATTAATCAAATGCATATGGAGTAATGAAAATATGAGACTGTGCAAATGAAATTTGATAATTTTCGGATACAGAAAAGTACTATTAATCTTAACATGAAAATCACTTTGTACTTGAAGCAGTCAACACTCTTACTTCATAATAAGATAAACTAATACATGTACATGCATTGTCAACACCCATTAAACACAACGATCTCTGACTCAAGAAGTAAACTTCATAACAAGTTAGATTACCGTACTTTATAAAATTCATTTATAAGAATGCACATTATTGGTTGACTGTCACACAGTGATAGTGATGTCAATGCAAAATCTTATCAAAATTTTCCACTGAATACGCATTAGGTTAGCATACATGGCCACAAGACAACAAAAAAAGCACTGCTGACAGTCATGACAGTGTAATATGACATAATTCTAAATAATAAATGTAGCTAGGCCTAGATGAAGTCAATAGATC